AATGGTAGTTATTGGCCAGTCAGCCACTATGAAAGAAATGGGTAGTTACGAGCAGAGTCCAAACGGTTGAGAACCGTCCAAGGATTATAAAAGGAAGAGGAAAGCAATGAAGAAAGCCCGACAAAATTCACTCTCAAACAGAGAATATGTAATTTACTTTTTTTTAGATTAACTTTAATTACTTCAATCTCCTTGTACTTGTGTGCTTGCGCTCCTTGGAAGCATCTTGTTCGTATCCAAACTGTAATCTTCATATTCGATAAACACCCCTTTTTGGGACTTTGTTCCAAGAGGTTTGTCCATTACACAATCGTCTGATTCTCTTTTTAATTGTTAGCGAGCGAAAACGTGCGAAACACTAACATCTTGCTGTAGCATTTTTTTTTTTAGATGGTGTTATATGATAAATTTAATGAAAAGTGAATTCAAGTGACTTGTTTAATTGTACTTCCCATTAATGCCCACCTAAATAGCATTACTCATTGTAAATTACTATTGATTTTCCTCTGGCCGCTACAAGGAGAAAAGGTATCCATTTATTCATGGATTGACTAACTTAACCCATTTAGTATACGCCCATTTGTCACAATTTGGCAAGTAACAATGTGGGACAAGACATAAAGATGTAGTACACTGGTTGAATCAACCACGCCATCTGTCCCAAATTTCACGGATAGGAAAAAGATCACGAGATTTATCCTTTGGAGGTCGTACCAGCAAACTGTAATGTAATTGAAATTCAGACAAATTAAATGATTGCAATATTCATCTAGCTATTCAATTAAGCATGTTTCTGGAGGTTCTTGCATAACAGTAGGGTCTACTTAACATGACTCTAAAAAAAAAAAAAACTAAAAAATTACTTTTGAACGTGTTTAAATGATTTTCTAGAAGTACATTGTCTGATTTAAAAGAACTTTTAGGGTCCATTTGATTGCAATAATGAAATTTGGTTGGAAAGGAAATGAATTTCGGGGAATTTAATTGTCTAGAACTTGTTTTACTGAGAATTATCAATTAATTGTATTTGATTGGTATAATTTTTTACCTCAAAAATATTAAAATTTCGAATCTTTTGGTGGTCGTTTGATTTTGTTTTCCATGGAAAATGTCCAATAAAGGAATATAATTTGTTACCATTATTTTAAAAAAAAAATGCCTAGAAAACCATTTTTCCACCAAAGTGGTGGAAAAACCAATTCAAGGAAAAACAAGAAAAGGGGGTCACGTGGAGCTTAAGAAGGAAAACCAATTCCATGGAATTTTTGGCCAATCAAACATGCAATAACTTGGAAAATGGAAAATAATTTCCAACTTTCATGGAAAATAAATCATATCAAAAAGGGCCTCAGAAAAAATTGATTTAAAGTAACCTTTCAAGGGAGCTTTTCTACGAAGAGATTTAAAACTTTTTTGTAATTGTCCCCTTCATATTCAACCCAAAGTTTCAGGCATGAAATATTGCTTTAGTCAAATGATTGGCGCCTTACCAATTATGGACACCCATATGGGTACACTTATGTACTCATAGCATTTTCCATAAAACTGATGCACATCGTAGAGCAGGCAGCATCTCA